CTGGGTTGGCAGGGGCCTCCAGGGAAGAGAAGGGAAGGGGGCAGGAGCCCCAGCAGATAAGGCAGGGCCTGGCAGGGGCAAAGGAATGAAGGGCAACCAGAAGGAGAAGAGCCCCCGAGCCACTCCACCCCTCAGCCCTCAGCCCATAGCCTCCCTTCGTTCTTAGTCCTGCCCCCCACCCTCACCCTTGGTCAGAAACCTGGTGAGCCAAACACTTAGCATGCCCAGGGCTCTGGAGGGCCACAGAGTGGGTGGGGGGCCAGGGCTGGCTCCGGTTGGCTCCAGCTGAATCCAGCAGCTCACTGGCACCATCTGCTGGCCTTGGGGGGAGGGCGTGGCTCTGAAGGGGATAAAGTGAAGGCTGCTGGATTTGAGGATGGGGAACCAAAGTGCTGAGTATGGGGTGCCAGGTGGCAGTCTTCAAGAGCTCAGGCTCTGTCTCCTGATTGCACAGCAGGGTTTCTGAAGTTAAACACTCTTCCTCCCTCTGTGGCCAGCTTGGAGGAGGCAGCAGAGTCCCGGGAAGGCCCTGCCCTGCACTCTGCTCACCCCTGGCACCCCATCACCCTTCCCTCCTGGCATAATGCAGAGGGCCCCAATGGCCAGTCTCTCCCCCTGGTTCTGAATCCCATCCTCAAAGACAGCACTCTTTCACTGAGTTCCTTCTGTGTGTTAGGCCCTGTGCTGGGCACCGTGGATATAAGTGCTAACCACTGGCCCCTTCCCCACAGCAGCACACTCGGGCTCTGGCCTCTCCCACTGGTAACCAACTACAATAAAGAATGTCTTGCCCTAGCCGGCTTGGCTCAGGGGATAAAGCATCAGCCTGCGGACCGGAAGGGTCCCGGGTTCGATTCCGGCCAAGGGCACATGCCTGGGTTGCGGGCTTGATCCTCAGTGCGGGGCAAGCAGGAGGCAGCCGATCAATGATTCTCTCTCATCATTGATGTTTCTATCTCTCTCTCCTCCCTTTCTCTCTGAAATCAATAAAGAAATATATTTTTAAAAAAGAATTTCTTTCATCCTGGCCAGTTTTGCTCGGTGGTTAGACAGGTTCCATTCCTGGTCAAGGGCATGTACCTAGGTTGCAGGCTAGATCCCCTGCCCAGGTCAGGGTGCATGTGGGAGGCAACAATCGGTGTGTCTCTCTCCCATCAATGTTTCTCTCTCTCTCTCTCTCTCTCTCTCTCTCTCTCTCTCTCTCTCTCCCACCCACCCAGCCCCCACACCCTTCATTCTGCACTCTCTAAAAAACAATGGACGGGTGAGAATTAAAAAAAAAAAAGAACTTCTTTCACCTCAATCCTCTACCCCTTTCCGCACGCATTGTTCTCACACACACCCCGCCCCCATTCTCAGCCGCGTTTCTCTAAAATCGCTGCAATCACCATCCCCACTCTCCCCTCCCCGTCTAGCTCGGAGCCAGCTTCCCCTCCTGACCTCACCAAAGGTCACCAGTGAATGCCATTTTAGTCCCCACATACCCTGGACACATCTCTGCTTTCAGTTAACTTGGCTTCCTTGAAGCCTCTGCCCTGTGGCAGTCCTCATGCCCCAGCCCCTTTCTCCCTTGGGCGCCCCCCTACCCCTCTGACTCCCCTTCTGGAGCTTCTCTTTCTTTGGGTGAACCTCTGGCTGTGGGGACCCCTCCCTCAGCATGAGCTCATCTTCCCACTCACATGCTGGTGACTCCCACACTCCTTTCCAGCCAAGGCCTCCTCACTCTTGACTCCGGGCCCAAAGTCCAGCTGCCCCGAGAGGCCTCCCTTGGATACCCATAGGCCCCTCACGCTCAGCAGGCCCGAGATGGTCTCATCATCTTCCCTAGTTCTGACAGTCCCCCACCCCCGCCCCCATTACCCTTCCTCTGCATTCCCTGCACTGGCCTCCAAACCTCTTGCTCTGTCCCAGCCCTTGCTTGGGTGCAAAGCCTCATGCTAGCCCTCTGTAGTAGGCAGCATTATTACAATTTTACTTTCAACGAATCTGAGGCTTCCTGCGGCTAAGAAAATTGCTCAAGGTCTCAAGCTCAGGTGCACTTGAGTTTGAATCTTGGACCAGCAGCAAGATTCAAATTCAGGTGTCAGTGCAGGGCCATGTTTACAGGGCCTCCTGGACTTCACAATGAGGGAGAGAACTGGTGATGGTCTTGAGCAAATGAGATCCCTGTTCCAGTTGGCCGGGGAATGGATCTGGGGGCAGGGGAAGAGTGGAGGCTGGGAGTCCTGTTGCTGCATGCCGGCCAGGGGACAGAAGCAAGGTCTATTTTGGACAAACCGGGCCCGAGGTGCTTGCAGACCTGGAGGGTCCTGCCCAGAGGTAGCTGGAAGCGTGTGGTTCCTAGCACATCACTCACATGGCCTGGGACTCCTCGTGTCCTGGGCATGAACTGAACCCTCTCCCCATTTTCCGAGGTAGCCCATCCAGGCTGTGCACCTGGAAACCAGGCCCTTCAGTTACCGGGGAGAGGGGAAAGTGAGACGCAGGAGCATCACTCGTGTTTTCAAACTGTGTGGTACGCTCCTCTGAATTTCTATTTTGCCTCCAGAATTGGAGGCAGGTGTTTGGGTGTTAGGGCCCTCAAGTTGGAAAGCACAAAGATAAAGTGTCCCAAAGGGTTTTCTGGACCAGCCCCAGGGAAAGGCAAGCCTCGGCTGGGAACATTTGCAGGGAGAGTTCGGCTGACTCACCGGCCTTCTTGGATCTTGCCGTGTGGCTTTGAGCTATTCATAATCCTCTGTTATATTTACTGTGTTTGCTGTATGCCAGTCCTTGTGTCCAGCTCGCTCGTACTTTATTTACTTATGCTCTTCTCACATCATCACTAGGAAGCAGGTACTAGCACATCACTCACATGGCCTGGGAGCCTGGGAGATAGCTGACTCACCTCCTCGTGCCCTGGGCATGAACTGAACACCCTCCACGTTTTCCAAGGCTCCCCCTCTGGGCTGCGCACCTGGAAATCCCCTTCCTATAAAGAAGAAAACAAATTCAGAGAGGTTAAACGGCATGCCCCGCGTCACACAGCCCCCCAGACACTACGTTCCTAACCACAGGCAGCGCTACCCCCCGGCCTTCCGCCTCGGAGGTTGGCATGGTGCAGTAGGCAATACCCAGGCAAAAGCCCATCAACCTTTTAAAATTTGCTTCTGGATTAGAAACATGTCTCCCAACAGTAGAATTAAGGCAAGTGGTTCAAACTAATTCCAAAACGTGCTTCCTTACAGCTTCTATCACCCCCAATCCAGGCCTTTTCTTGGCAGAACAACTGCAAAAGATACAAAAATTAGTTGCTGTTGGCTGACTGGTTTAATTTATTTGCATATACATAACTCAGCCCCACCCCTGGTGGCTAATACCAGGCGCGGGGAAGCTGTGGCTGTTTTCTGATTGCTGGTGGGGAGGCCTGTGTGTGTTGTTTTTTTAAATAAACTGAAACCAGATGGAAGGGGTTTTTGTTCACAGCCTGGCCTAAAATGTTCTCCCGCAAATTCCTTGAAAAGCCAGCCACCTATGAGTGGTGCCTATTCTCCTTGGAGGTCCCTCGATACTGAGATGTAATAGTGAGCAGGGCTGGGGTTTCTAACGTGAAAACAAAAGGAGAGAAAGAAGCTTCTAGGCCCAGGGGCTCTCGGGAACAGGGTCATCTCCTGATTTGGGTCCTGGGCTGTGGCTTGAGTCAGAATCACCTGGACCAACCACTTGGTGAAAAAATGTGGATTCCAGACCCCCCACATACACAACCATTTGCAGCACTAACTACCGGCAGGAGCCTCCAACTCTCAGAACGGGTTGATTTTTGAGTCAGTGGAAGGGGTTACTCCCACCACCCCCTGAAATGGGCCAGTGGTTCAAGGTGGTTATCGAAATATTTTTAACTGCCAGCCAGGTCGAGGGCTTTGTAATGTCCCTCGAACACCTCGTTAAGAGGTTCCTTGTTCAGAGAGATGAAGCAAGTGTGCCCACGGGTCAGGGCGCCAGGGGCTTCGCCTTTTTCTTTGGAACGTGAATGGGGCATTGTCGTGGTGAAAGTCTGACCCAGTCCCCAGGCAGGGGAGAGCCTTTCTCTTCCAGCTCCGACCTTCATCCCCAGCTCAGAGCACTGTGCTTTTGGATTCCGAGCCTTTTCAGATAATTGCGTCAGGTTACATAAGGTTTCGGCGCTAGGAACAAAGAAAATTCCACAGGGAGCAGGCCTGAGAAGTTCCCGCATATAATTTGCTTTAAAGTATTCGAGGAAAAATGCAGGTGTCCCAGCCCCGTGCATTTTTGAGATAAAGTAGGAACAGCCAACAGCTTTGATGCAGGTACCCTTTCCCCATAGAAATGAGCACGCGGTGGAAATACCCCTCCCGCAGGAGCACGTGCGGGGCCGGGTGGAGGTCGTTTGCAAAAAGGGCAGGTTTGACCTCACGGGCCCAGGATACCTTTTTCCACCCTTGCTGCATCTCAGGTGACACATGTGGTAAATATAAGCCTTCGGTTGTCCAAGAAACATAAAATAAAAAACTGAATTACTGGCAGCCAAGCCTTCAAGTCTTTGGTCCCTAGGACTCCGCAGACACATTTTCCATATGCCATGATTTTTTTGTTTTGTTTTGTTTGTTTGCCTCCAAGGGATGGCCCTGTGGCAGCTCTGTTGCATAAGGTGCTGTTTCCAAACACCTTGTTCCCAACTGGAGATACAGAATAGGTTTTATCTAGATCCCAGAGAGTTCTGGAGGGGTGACATGGTGTTCCCAACGGCACTGGTTATAGTCAACAGTGGGAAAGCTGCCAGAGCCTTCCCACCAAGGAAGCTGGGAGAATATTCTAAACACTGAGCGGCAGTTCTTTCTTACAGCACAGAGCGGTCATAAAAACCACTTAACAAGGAAAAATTAATGGGAGGAAAATGTCTTGAAAGTAGCAAATGAAAAACAACTTTACGAGGGACATGGAAAAAATAGATTTACTACCAAGGGATGGCAATATAGGAAAGTCATTTTACACCAAAAATAATTCAAGGAGTGGTATTTACTTTACAAAGGGCCTCACAAAAGAATTCCTATAAATAGCACACTCCTTTTCTTTGTTCTTTCCTTTCCTCCTTCCTTCCTCTGTTCCAGGCTCTGTGCTAGGGAAGCCATGGTGAGCTAGAAAAAACATCATTCCTCCTCTGTGGGCTCTCTGGCTGGCTGGAGGGACAGCCCCTAATCAGATCACTCCACACTCAAGGAGCCATGGACGGAAGGAACTAGAAAGCAGCATCCCATGGTGCGATGGCAGCAATGCTTCCTCTGTTCTGAGGGCCAGAGAAAGCTTTCCCCGAGAAAGTGATGTTCCAGGTAGGGAGATCGTCACGTGCAAAGGCCCTATAGAGAGGGAGCCTGGTCCTTTGAGGAAAGGGAGGCCATCGAAGCTGCAGGGGTCAGCCAGAGCCATGGAGCAAAGGAGGTCTTGGAGGCTGTCGTGCGGAGGAGGTTTTGATGCTAATTTTATGGGATATAGAAATACCACTCCCTGGGGGAGCAGGGAAGAGTCACTGAGCATTGTAAGCAGGAAGTAAAAGAATCAGCTTGGCTTAAAAAAAAAAAAAAAGACGCCCACCACAAGCTGTGAGGATGACAGTGTGGGAGCCCACAATGGAAGCAGAAAGACCAGTCAGAGGCCTCGGTGCTTGCTGGGGCAAGAGCTGCTGGTGGTCATGGGGACGCGCCAAGTGGATGGGCTGAGTCATCCAGGGCCCATTGGAAAGGGTACCGTGACCCAGATGAAGTGGACTCGGCAAGCAAGAGCTGTGGCCGACCACGTCCCACCCAGGTTAATCTGATCATGAACATTTAATTCGATTAGCTGATGAAATGGTTAGCATCATTCCTGGTAGAAAGACAAAAAAGGTTTCGATTATGTGTATCAGTGTCTACTACCAACTGAGTACTCTGTGCGTTTATAGGCCTGACCACACTTTCAGCCCTATGCAGTAGCTATTGTTACCTCCATTTCACACAGGAGCAAACTGAGATTTAGGGGGGCTAAGGAATTTGCCCAGCTGGCGACTGGCAGAACTGGGATCGAAACAAATAACCACTGACCTGCCCTGGGACAAGTGACAAGTCCCAGGAAGCCTGAGTACGCGTTGGCCCTAAGGACAGGCCACCGGCTCCAGCCCAGGAGTGTCTTCTGGCATTTTTTGGAGCCGCCTAAGCTGGCTTAGGATCTTCTCACACGTGTGTGTGCATAAGCATTCCCAATTACAGTTGAGCTTTTCTCCCTGTGAACCCTGGGCAGACCTGCCTTGTAGATCAGGGGCAGGAACAAGTCCTGCTCAAGGGGCTGACTGACTTCTGTTCCAGAAAAATGTGTCACATTTTCAAAGAAATTGTACAAAGCGGGTGGGAGGAGCTGGAACAACACTTCAAGTAATGGAAACCCTGTGGGAAAAGGCCTGGGGGTGGGAGTGAATGCTGCAGGTTCCAGGAGTTGCACAAGCCTCACTGGGCACAGGGATGAGGGGATGAACAGGAGTTTGCTAAGCGCGGCTTTGGGAGCCATGCTTTGTCTAAAGCAGTGGTTCTCAACCTTGGCTGCACATTAGAATCACCTGGGAATCTTTTTAAAATTCTGATTTCTGGGCCTCATCCTCCGGAAATTCTGTTTCTTTGTTATGGAGTGGGGCCACAACATTAGTAACAAAGAAACAGAATTTCTGGAGGATGAGGCCCAGAAATCAGAATTTTAAAAAGATTCCCAGGTGATTCTAATGTGCAGCCAAGGTTGAGAACCACTGGTCTAAAGACAAAGGAAACCCCGCATTATCTTAAACAGAAGACTGATTAGGTGATGTGTTCAGGTTAGGAAGATTTCTACCCTCTGCCTGCCGGGGAGCAGGCAACATGTGGCCTTCTTCGGAAGTGATGCCCTGGGCAGTGTCAGGCTCTGGATTGGAAACCACATGATGATGACAAACTCAGAAGATTACCATCAAACTGCCCCTGCCTCAAGCAAATTTAAAATGAAAAAGCTGTCAGGGCGTCCTCAGAAAGCCTGACTTGGAGTCACTCAGACACACATCAAGGGAGTCTGAGCTGTCACTTGGATTTTTGTTTCAAATGAAACAGCTTTCACTGGTTAATGTATGTGTACTTAACCCTATCTGAAACCTACTGTACTAGTTTCCTGTTGCTGCTATAACAAATCGCCACAAATGCAGTGGCTTGAAACAACACAAATTTATTATCTTATAGTTCTGGAGGGCAGGAGTTTGAAATGGGTCTCCCTGGGCTAAAGTCAAGATGTCAGCAGACAGGTTCCTTCTGGAGGTTCTAGGAGAGTATGTTTTATTGCCTTTCCCAGCTTCTGAGGCCCCTACATTCCTTGGCGCATGGCTTCTTCCTCCATCTTCAAAGCCAGCAGTGTAGTATCTTCAAACTTATCTAACTTTTTTGTTGTTGTTGTTAATCCTCACCCAAGGATATTTTTTCCATTGATTTTTAGAGAGGTTGGAAGGGAGGGGGAGAGACACAGAGAGAAACATCGATGAGAGAGACACATTGACCGGTTACCTCCCGCACATGCCCTGACCGGCACTGGGGATCCAGTCTGCAACCCAGGTACATGCCCTTTACCAGAATTGAACCTGAGACCCTTCAGTCCGTGAGCCGACACTCTACCCACTGAGCCAAACCAGCTAGGGCAAATTTATCTGACTTTTGCGTTCAGCGTCACATCTCCCCCTCTGACCTTCTCTCTCTTATAAGGGCTCTTGTCATCACACAGAATGTATGTGGATAATCTTGCATCTCAAGATCCTTAATCATATCTGCAAAGTCCCCTTTGCCATATAAGGTAACATATTCATAGGTTCCAGATATTAGGATGTGGACATCTTTGGGGGCTGCTATTTTGGGGACTTAATTTGTTAAAGTGGGACACCCACTTTAACAAATTAAGAGAAAGAATGGCAAGTCTGGGAGCTAGGAGAAGGATGGGCTGGAAGCAGGCAGGTTGATGTTAGGGAGACCAGACCAGAGGCTGCTGCAGAGACAGTAAGGAAGATGCTGGTGATCTGGGCAGGAATGGAGTGGAAAGAATGAACACAGGACATGCTTCAGAGGGAGGACTGCCTGGTCCTGGGAACTGTGGGGTTAGATGGGCAAGGACTAGGAGGAGACTGGGTAGATGGTAGTGCCCTTCGGAGGGCCCAAGGGGAAAAGCAGGTTTGTGGTGAGGACAGAGAGGCATGTAGGGACGTGTTGCATCTAGATATCCATGGAACATTCCGGAGAGGTGCCTAGGAGGCAGGTGGACCCAGAGTCTAGATAGCTGTGACTCTTTTGGCCTTCTCTCCCTGTGGGCATACACGGGCTTATTCTCCACCTTGATTTCTGGGTGACCATCTCTGTTTGACCCTAAGTTCTCCTATTCCAGATAAGAGTTGAGAGGCCATCTTGTATTTCTGAGACTATTGATTTTTCTTTTGTGTGTGTGAAAATGTAAGAACATTGCACAAGCAATGATAATCATTTATTCATTAAAAAGAACAAATAATAATCATTCCTTCTCAAACATTATTAATGGACAAAACATATTCTCTGAAAATAACAGTTGGCAGTACTAAGAATTCTTTTTTTTTCTTAACCCTTTGAGTGCCAACCAATATCCTAGGAACTGTGCTAAAATTGCCAAGGCATTTTTGCTGATTTTACAGCAGTTTAGGAAAAAAAATTATGAATCGCAAGTAAATGAAGTTACATATTCAAAAACTTAAGGAAACCTTTACTACACTGACATATTTAGCAATATCATCATCACTAATAAAAGCAGACTTAGAACGGGACGCCATTTCGAAGCTTTGATAGCGCTCCCAGCACTTTTGGCGAAAGACAGGAGGGGCGCGATCGTGCTCCCTGGCACTCTAGGGGTTAATTAAGGTATTACATGTGTGTCCTTATCCCCTCATTACCGCCCCCCACCCCCCGAGACTATTGATTTTTATTCCACATCAAGTTTGAGTTTATCAGTCCTGGAAACAAGACTTTAAGTCATAGAGATAGCCCTGGGCGGTATGGCTCAGTTGGTTAGAGCACTGTCCCATGCAGGTTCAATTCCCAGTCAGGGCACATGCCCAGGTTGCGGGTTCAATCCCTGGTGAGGGGGCGTACAGGATGCAGCCGATAGATGTTTCACTCTCACACTGATGTTTCTCTTCCCCTCTCCTTTCCTCTCTCTTTAAAAAAAGAAAGAAAGCCCGAGTTCATGGGCGAGTCCATTCTGAGTATCCCCAAGGAAAAGGGGAGAGCTTTCAGGGAAACCAGGTCCACAGGGAGGTTCCCCAGGCGGGGAAAGAGAAGAGAGTCTGCAGGCCCTGGAACAGAGGACGCCGGCCTGTCCTGTGTCAGCCCCGGGGAAGCAGAGCCTAAACCTCAAAGTCCTTGTGGATAGGACAGTGGCTATGGCGTCAGTGCTAGAGAGGACTCAGGACCACAGGATGCTTTTCAGACTGTGGCTGTAGGAGATCCTGGTCCATGGAATAACCTGGGTAAGAGGAGCTCAGTGGAGACCAAGGTTAAATTTCCCACCAGGCTGGAAGACGAGGGCTCCCAGAGGGATTTATGCTGGATTTACAGGAAATAAAGAAAGAAGATACTTTGCACAACGTATTTTAAGCCAGTGGTCCTCAACCTTGGCTGCACATTAGAATCACCTGGGAGTCTTGTTAAAACCTGATTTCTGGGCCTCATCATTAGTAACAAAGAAACAGAACTTCCGGAGGATGAGGCCCAGAAATCAGGATTTTAAAAAGATTCCCAGGTGATTCTAATGTGCAGCCAAGGTTGAGAACCACTGTTTTAAGCTCTTGTATTTCACCCTTTATATTATGGAGCTCCTGCATATTTATTTGTCTAGCTCTGTCTTCCCCTTCGCCTGGAATCTCCATGAAGAGCAGGGACCTCATGGGTGTTCCCCACCGTATGTCCGGTGCCCTGCACATACGCTCATTAAAATGTGCAGGAATCTCCCCGAGGACGGTGGTCTCGGGAGAAACTGGAAGGGGGCGCTTTTGGAACAAGTTAGGGGTTTCGAGAAGACAAGGTGTGGGTTGGGATGGCGTGGGACGAGTTTTCTAGGAGAAAGGCTGTGGAGGAGCGGGGAACGGGCCGGCCGGGGCGCCAAGGGGTCCTCGAGCCACAGCTCCCGGGCTGCCGGCGCGAAGTGACGCGGCGCGGTTTGGCCGCTGTGGGGCGCCGTAGCCCGCGCCGTTGCCAGGGGAACGGGTCCAGCGCCGGACGAGGCCCAGCCCGTCTCGGCCTGGCCCGGCTGTACCGCCAGCCCGCGGGAGCCCGAG